GCTGGACGTTACGAAAGTTCAGATTCCCTTCATGTTTAATCATGAACATGCTAATTTTCAAGTTGTTCTGAATCGTACAAACAGCTGACTTTAGGGTTTCAGAACACAAAATCTCAAGCTTTTTGTTTCCGTTGAGCCACAAGAACACCAAGTTACATTTGTTTGGTTTGTTCGGCATAAACGTATTTTCATTTTTTTGGCAACTTTAATTTCCATGTGAACTACAAAACTTGGGACAGGCAATTATATCAGTAGGGCTTTGATTTTTCGATTTATATGTTTCACATTTCGATCAAACCAAGTTTCAGGCATTGATTTTTCTATCGAGCCACAAGCACACATCTTTTTATACATGTCCAGCATCTCGCTTCTTCCATATAGAGCGACAAGAACACAGTTTTTCAGGTATGCATCTCCATTTGGAAGAGACCAAGTTTTCAGGTCTTGTTTTCCATTGAGCCGCAAGAACACAAGTTTTCACATGTCCAGCATGTCTTCCATTGAGCCACAAGAACACATGTCTTGCTACATTCCATGTCACATCAACATCATAAGTCCTAGGACAAGAACACACTAAGTCCTAGGACCCGGTTCCATAATGGAAAGGACCCGGTTAGCCCCGGACTGGCATAAATACCACAACACAATTCACACTGCATTCAAAACAACATACTACAGGTCAAGATGATCAAGCAAGTCCAACACAAAATACCAACGGGCATCATCCATTGCGAAGATCACTTCCCGAACCGACTCACGTGGTACTGCCCAGCACTATACCACACTGCCATACACAACACTTTTTTAGACAAAGAGATTTTTCGGATGTCGCAGCGCCAACCTCTACAACACCACTTCGATGTCTACACAGACATCCGCAGTCTTCTACCAGCATACACATGGGCGTTTCCACAGTGGGGACGCATCCCACGTGCCTACATTTTACCGAAAAGAAAGAAGCAATTCACAAAAGGACGTCCTATAGTGGCGTTCATCGACACCATGGGCAGGAAATTATGGGAAGCCTTAGCAGACGTACTGCAGCTGATGACCCTTCAAGCATGCCCAAACTCCTTTCACCAAGGAGACGGGATAACCCAGCTCAAACAAACAGCGCTCTTTTTGCATCAGCGCAGAAAACTACACGATTCAACAGATTACATCCTGTACAATCAGGATTTAGCTGGATTCTTTACATCGGTCGATCAAAGCCGGTTTCTTTCAGCATACAGCATCATGGTTCGATGGTACAGAGAGAAGAACCCACTGCACTCTTCCAAATTCTTCATTGACCACTCACAGAAAGACCCCACACATCGAGTTCACAGAGGTAAAAGCAGACAAAAGCAGCAGGAAGCCTCCTCCGGCAACAAACTTTGCATACAATTACAACACATACCACAACTCATCATTGCAGTGCTCAGGCTCAACTATTTCACTGTCGGTACATCACTCATTGAGCAATTTCGTGGAGCACCTATGGGCTCGCCCTGCAGCCCAGCTTTATGCAACATCGTGGTTGCTGTAGAAGAGCAGTGTTGGCACCACACATACAAACAACTTTTCACGAACCACAAGCATTTTCCAGACCACAACAAGCAGGATCAAGCTTACTTTTTTGCTACCAGATACGTCGACAACCGCGTCCTTCTATTGCCTGCACAGCTGACCCGACTGCCTCCTTTTGCACAGCTTACTGACGCATCTTTCTACAAACCACCGGTTCAGCTTGAAACTGAACCGGCCAACATTTTCCTGGGTTTCGCCATAAACCCTCAGCACAGCAGCCTTACGCATCACTGCACTTTACACAAGGCGGATATTTTACACCCACAGTCGGCGACCTCTGTTGCAACACTTCGCAGCAGTTTTCAGGCCCGCACACGCATGGTACGCAGAGTGACAACACCATGCAGCGAGGCCACATCAGCCATTCGAGCCATGCGCGATCTGTACATCGCTGCCGGCTATACTGATCAACAGCTGTAAGCAAAAACACTGTGCCAAGTTGCAGTGCGTGCGTTCAGAGCCATGCAACTTTGCAACATGTGAGACGCCTTGTACCAATACAGTGTTTCCCGCAGCCATTTACAGGGACTAACTGAGGCATCATCATGTATAAAAGTGCCATGACTGGCAGATTGCAGCCGAGCCACAAAGCGCTGAGCGGCCGTCCTCGGCCATCCATCTCCAAGCATAGCAGACGCCGCAACGAGCAGCCTGCGGTTGGCAGCCACACTCAACAGCCGGCGCCTTTACGCTCTCAGTTCCTACGTGTCGCAGAAGACGAAGATTTCCAAGATTACCAAGAGCAACACCAAGATCCGCAAGAACAGCAGGACGCAGCAGTGGCTGCACCGGCGACTCCACCATTTCCACCTCCGCCGCATTCTGGTCCGGATTCATCGGCTGAGATTATTGAGTTACTAACACAGTTTCACAATTCGTTGCTTGAATCCAATGCCAAGCTGGAACGCTTGATACAGCAGGCCACAACGGTGTTGACTACTCAACACGAAGCCACCACTGCCATTATGGCATCATGCAAACAGCAACTTGATATTCTCGAGAGCCTTATGAGGCAAAACACACCAGACTGGTCCTGAATGTGCTGCTGAATCCGCTGGTATAAAAAGAGCCAGGTAGTGCACACCTCTTGCATTTGACCTTTTGTTGCTGCAGATACGCACCATAACTTCGCCTTCTGAAGTTTTATGCCTCAGAGTGACACCTATTCGAATCCCGACATAGAGCCATGAGCGAAGCATCTTTTCCGACAAACACAGCGACTACAGCTTCGCCACCCATCGATGAGGCACGACGTGAAGCTCTCTCCGAGGCCATCATGGAGATTTTGACACAGCATCGGGACTATGATTCAGAAACTGGAAGCGAACCTTCCACATTCAGTGACGGGGCTCTACGCGACCAATTAGCCGAGTTTATTCTTCAAACAACTCGGCAGATCACAGAGCTAAAGCAACGAGTGGAACGACTCGAAGCTTCGCAACAATAGGTGATCAACCATGCTCATACTCATACCGTCATCGGGCACATTGCAGCGGACGGTGAAAACAATGATAGTCGTTTTCGCCAAGTGTTACAGTCAGCGCACTCACTTCACTTATGTTTGTTATGCAGCGATTGATGCACTCTTTCCCGCAGCATTTTGAAAAACAACCAGTTGTGTTAGCATCATGGAACAACGCACCAGATCGCGATCTCCGACGGCATCACAATGGAGATGGCATTGGGCCACTAACGGCTCTTCATGGTGGCGAGAGTACTTTATCGCATCTCAAGAGTGGATACGAAAGCATTCGGAGCAGCCTGATCAGCGTCCGACATCAACGACTCCTACCCAAAAGGAGACAGTATCTACTACATCAACTCCTACATCCAACAAGCGAAAGCGATCAAGAACTCCGTGAGCAGCATTGCTGAGTTGACAATTAGATGCATATTTGCTGCCCCCGGCAGCCAACAATCACACAGCAAAGCTGTGCTGCGAACTCCATCACATCTGATGAGGTTCAACATTAAGAGCATCATGTAGAAAGTTCATGCAGGTCTACGCGGTTTATCAATTGATGTCTCTGTGTGCCTCTCTCTCTCTTCTGAAGTTCTACGTTTGCACATGCCTCAATGCAGTTGTGACTCCGCAGCCATTTCTCTAACCTACAGTTGCTGAAACACATTAGGACAGTTTTGCACACAAATGGACGAGGATGACGACAGCAGCCTATGGGGATCCGAAGAGATTGATGCCTTCTTGAGGAAGGACGACACCACCAGATCCTCCCATGCAGTCAGCCACACACACAAGCAAAAGACAAAGCACACAACGAGGACAAAAAAGAAGAAAGACAACAAAGACAAAAAGGACAAAACAGTCAAGAAAACAAAGAAAACACGCAACATCTCACCACCATCCCAATCCACAACACAGCAACGACGCCAACATCCACATACTACAAGACGAAAGAGGACACGCTCTTCGCATTCAACATCATCAGCGTCACCTACGGCAACGTCACACATGGCTGAGGACCCACACCGGTCTCCATCTCGAGATCCTTGGTCTTCTGACTCGATTGCACCTTACGATATTGTGCATCCTACTATTCAGCACAAGCGGTCCAAAACCGCTTGTGCAAAAATGCTGGTACGTGCAGGATTCAGGTGTCGCTGCCATTTCAAGATCATGAGTGACTGTCCCAACAGACTCGCTGTTGGACCCTAATTCTCAGGACGGATTAGGGCTGCAAGATCCGCTAAGCGTGACAAAAAGCCTGCGCATGCGAGTGTCAGGACGACACCACTTTGTTGTTTTGCCAGAGCACACATCATGTCCATGTTGATTTGCATTCCTTGTTCAAGCTTTTGTCGGTTGGTAGCAGCAAAAATATGACAAAGCGAAAGGCTGCCGAGGCCGGCCTTCCATGGTACTCCATGGCAGGACAATGTTTTCGGATGACTGTTGAAATTCCACCCGACCGCATCACCAGAGACAAGCACATGTTCTTACACGTGGTGCTTTGTCTGGGCGACAACGTTCTCCAAGCTCGCAAGATCTTCTCCTACCGCATCAAGGAGATCACCGGCAGAACTCCTAAAATCCCAGCTTTCTTCTTCGAACAAAACCGACGACGACTACATGATTGGGATTCAGTCACCACATTAGCCACGTTGATGCCGGTGCTTTTTGTTAGAACCTGTTCGGATCAGGAAATACGACAATCACCCGATCGCTATTGACAGCGAGAAAAGTGCGCCATTCACTCCTATTGCCGTGCATCAGACCTTTCACTCTACTTGAAGCATGTACGCCCCATTGGGGCTGTGTGTGTGTGAACCTCCCTAGCACATGGGAGCAGAGGGTCACTCCTACACTGTTTGCAATTTCGCTTTTCAACATAATCCGACATTGGACATTTACCAAATCAACTGTTGCAGGGGGATCAGGCTTCCAGTGACTGACCTGATCCAACGAAGCTAGGTCACTGGAAGGGAAGTGATTGAGGACGCTCAGTCATGTACCTGCACAATTTTCGGCAGCCCCCTGTGGTGCCAAGATTAGTCTGAGGACAGGCCCCCTGTGGTGTCCAGATTAGACAAACAATTTGTACGGTTGCCGCAATCTGACAAACAGTTGCAACATGAACAACATTCCTCTTTTTTCCTTTGCACTCGTACTCTTGGCCGAATCCATCAGTGTGTGTGTGTGTGTGTGTGTGTGTGTGTGTGTGTGTGTGTGTGTGTGTGTGTGTGTGTGTGTGTGTGTGTGTGTGTGTGTGTGTGTGTGTGTGTGTGTGTGTGTGTGTGTGTGTGTGTGTGTGTGTGGTGTGTGTGTGTGTGTGTGTGTGTGTGTGTGTGTGTGTGTGTGTGTGTGTGTGTGTGTGTGTGTGTGTGTGTGTGTGTGTGTGTGTGTGTGTGTGTGTGTGTGTGTGTGTGTGTGTGTGTGTGTGTGTGTGTGTGTGTGTGTGTGTGTGTGTGTGTGTGTGTGTGTGTGTGTGTGTGTGTGTGTGTGTGTGTGTGTGTGTGTGTGTGTGTGTGTGTGTGTGTGTGTGTGTGTGTGTGTGTGTGTGTGTGTGTGTGTGTGTGTGTGTGTGTGTGTGTGTGTGTGTGTCTGTGTGTGTGGTTGTCTGTCGGTCTGTCTGTGCACTGGTGTCTCTCTGGTGAGTCTGATGAGTCTTTGGCCATCTACTCTGCGCCTGGGCAAATTCGGCCTGACAGTCCTGGAAGCATGTTGCAGCCATGCCCAGCCACCGCAGCCATGAAGTTGATACAATTAAGATTGCTGCAGGAACCCAGGAGGCCTCTGGCCTCCCACGAGGATACACAGCGTCCAAGCAGACAGAGCTTTATCAGCGTGTGCCCAGGCCAGTCCGACATTCTGTTGCGCGGGAACCCCTCTATCGCCACACGTCCACGCGCCCTTTCGCCACACTTGTCGAGACCTTTCCCGAAACCTTTCGCAACGCTTTCTTGGAACGATGCTTCGTAAGCGCCACGTTCGAATTTCCGAACAAGAGGTTTAGTAACCCCCAAAGAAAACAACAGTGGCACGTGGTGGCGTGTGCTGAGTCCTTGGGCAGAGCAATGCCATACTCCTGCTCCAGGATGTAGGCGATGCCACCCTGAAACACCCAGAAGTACCCTGTTTGCGACAGCTTCACAGCTTCAAGAGTCCACCTTCCCACTCTGGCTGTTCACCCGGATGATGGCTTCGTAATGACGACCTATGTCCTCTAAAGCAATGGGGATGCGTAGCACCGCTGCGTCTTGCACCAAAAGGACGACTCCTGCGGATCAATGGGCAGGTAAGGAACTTCCCACACATTCTCCTTCTTGTTGGCCTCCGGGTCGCTCATGCAGCTTCGATGCCCCATGCCCCACGCTGCGCATGCTTCGTGCACAATCTGCCAACCTCCAAGCCTTTCTTGATGGCATCCTGCAAGCGTTGAGTGTTCCCTCTTGCAGAAACCGACATGTGCACTGCACTGCTGTCGGTTGGGTCCTGGTGAGATCCAGAAAATGCTGTGTAAACAAGGCTTCCAGCCCACGGGTACCGCCTCGGAAGTTCCAAGTTCAGCCATGAGAAACGGAGGAAATGCGGGTACCAGAGCACCAAAGTTGTGTTTCGAGGAAGCCTCCCCGAAGCTTAAGCTGAGCCTGATGGGCTACAAGTAGAATGCTCCTGTCTGACAAGCCTCCAATTCGTCCACCGTCTATTGGCATCGTGGGGCATGGAGTTTATTGTGAAGTCGTGTCCAAGCCCTTGCACATTATGCTCTGTGAATGGATGCTCAATGTTCGGGCTCCTGTCCATGACGTCATCGCCATGGAGACTTCGGACAAACGTAATCAAAGCTCAACGCTCACACTCGTATTAATTGTGGGAGGGGCAAAGGAGCTCAAGACAACATTATAGAGCTCCCATACTAGTAACGTACTCCTGAAGAGGCAACAGCAACAGAGGGGGGATGGAGCAGGGTCTCTACAAGACGAGACTACAAGACGATAAGTCGAAAGAAGTGCCAAGCAGCAGATTTCAAAAAACTCCAACGGCTTCGATGTCGCGTCCAACTCGTGGCCCAAGAAATGGCGAGCAAAAATGCCGAATCTTCTTCGGGTGCCGCGAGGTACATAGACCTGTCCCGTCCCAAGAAGTTCTCGCTTCACACGATGCCGTGCAGGCAGCGCTTCAATTTGGACAAGCGACTAGCCTGCAACCGTTTGCGCGCCCCCTGGCCCCACCTTTGCTCGTGCTTCCTCCCTGGCCTGGAAATCCTTAACCGCGGAGTAAGCGGACCGTGAAATCCGTGAAGCCGCAAAATCAAACAGGAAGTAGCTGTGCCGATGCTGATAAAATTGACTTCCGAAGTTCTCGGCCGTGCACGGAGTACATCGGACCGCATTCAAGATTTGTACAAAGATTGCCGGGGGAGCTTTCGACCGGGCTTCGGTAACCATCTTGTTCTTGACAGGACATGGAGCCATCGAAACACTGATCTTCCGACTGCTCATGTCGTGCTTGGCCGCTTGGCTTTGCTGTGTCAGCTACTGTTGCATCTGAAAATCGAGTCCGGGGCTCTGGAACCTTTAGCTCTGTGCAGTGCTCGGCCACATTGATGGTCTCCTCACGATCTGCGCGCATGCGCATGCCAAAGTGAACAGAGAATGCTGCATCCTCTAGCTCCACGTAGCTCACCTCGACTTTGCAACACCAAGCATGATTGCCGCCGGCATCTCCGTACATGTGTCTGCCTCGGGGTCAATGCCTTGAGTGAACATGTTCAGAGCGAGTGTGACCAGGCACCTGGAAACGACGTGCGACAATGTCCTCCTGACTTGTGCTACATCGTGGCACGAGGCAACGCAGACACTTCAGCCGCGGAACACGTTGCCCGTGCGTTCTCCGTTTCCGAAGAGGCAACCCTCAACTCGGTCTGCTCCTGACAGATCTGTCAGAGAAACTGGTGCCTCAGACTGATGTCCTCGCTCCTGCCATCAGGGCCAGCTCTGCTGCTGCGATTCCGGTGCCCCGATCGTTGTGCGGATGCACGCTGATGCACCTGAAAGGGCCACTTGAGATCGGACAGGCCACCCCTGCGTAGCATGCAAGGCTCAGGCACGCAGTCCCGATTGTTGATGTGGGCACACATCCATTCAATTTGATCTGCGTACACCTTGGTCTGAAGACTCATTGTTCAAGAAACCAGTTGAAGCGCTCGCGAAGCTCAGGCAAGCGTTGTCACACCTTACAGCCCTTCTCTCTTTCTGTTAAGCTGGACGCATTCGGAGTGCACATCTCCACTGTCCCCGGCAAGTTCAGGATCAGCTGTCAGCAGAGAATGCACTGCCCTTGGCACCGTGGCAGCCCGTGCAAACGTGCCGTCAGGGCCTGCTCGCTAGGTGTTGGCTTCCACCTTGGACCGTTGGAGACTTTGGAAATGCCAATACATGTACAATCCTGATTGCACTGCCAAGTCCTGGACGGCGACATGCTGACTCGAACAGCAGCTGTAAGCTATGTAAGGGCCCCCACACATCAATCACGGCGTTGGAGACATCGAGCGCAAAATCGAGCTCTGTGCCGGTGAAGCTGGCGGCCGAGCAACGGTACGTGCAAACGATAGCAGCACCTACCTGCTAGTAAGTGCCCAGGAATGCCCAAGCCGCACTGCACAAGCAGCCACACAGGGACCCTACTGCATCATGTTGCGATGCACGGCCAGGCACATCTGCCAAGCCTTTCGGGAGAGTACTCGAGCCGGACGTTCATTCCTGCCATGCGCTCATCCACCAGTTTCCTGCCATAGTCGCGAAATCGGATCTCACAGGCCAAGAAGATACAAACCGCCAGCGCACTTCACGAGGCCAACGCTTTCCAGAGCCAGCTGCTTGATGTCCTGAAGCTGCTTGGGTGAGCAACGCCAAGAAGCCCAGCTCATCTCTTGACATCTCCAGACTAAGAGCCTGCCGGCCCTTTTTGAACACAACTCGCCGCTGCCTCGCAACATGGCAGTGGTTAGCCGCACCAAAGCTCTACTACAGAAACACCTGTAAACGCAAACACCAGGAAACGAGGCAGTATTTGTGGCACATTGCCCGCATTCACCCCTTGCCCACATAGCTCAGGACGGCGCAATTCAGAGGTGGAGTTGTAGACGTGAATCCTCAGCGATAAGCATCCACATCGACATTCTCTTACAAGCTGTGACAGGTCAACTATGTGGTGCTCAAGCTCAGCATGCAAGCTGCAACAGCCGTAACGAAGCCCGACTATAACTTCAGCAGCCGGTTTGTAGCACCATAGTAGCATCAGCAGCGGCAGAAGAAGCAGCAGCAGCACCAAGCAGCACGAGCAGCTTTGGGCGTCTGCGACAGTGCACGCTCTGTTTATGCTGTAGGATTCGCCGCTCCCTTATGGTGGAACCTTCATGAACCTTGTAAGGTGCAAGGGCCTTCGACGCATGCAACTGTGTACCTGCCTGCTCACACTTCGAACCCGAATCGTAAGTAATGTACCGGAAGCGCGAGGTCCGCTTAATTCCCGTTCTGCCAATTCCGGCCGCTATCCTTCCGAATGCTATACAGCGCCAGCTCCATGCAGGTTTCGAGAGTAAAGATGGCAGGGAAGCTTAAGGCAGAGGGCAGAGACAGTGGTGGGGAGGGGTCATTACATCAAGGCCGAGGTTGCTGCACGACGTTCTTGGCGCCTTTCACACCTTGCAAGGGATCTCTGCGGGAAGCACGTAGCCCTAGCCCGAGCCAGGCCTTCGATGGTCCGCAGGATGAGAGGCTCACGGCACTGCGTGAGAACCTGCCAAGCAAGATCCCCCAAAGCCAGTGACCGAACAAGGGTCCCAAGCTAGCAATCCACAACTCGGTAAAGCAGGGCTACATTCCCGCTGCTTCTGCTCGGTTGGAAAAACAGCATGCCAACTGGGTCATGGAAGACCCCTCTGCATTACCAAGCAGATGTAGAGGTGCAGGGCTATGGGGCGACGTGCTAGATGCCATATCTGAGTGTCCGCTTCTGTTTTCGCAAGCTGACGGCCTGAATCCACACATCGTCCGGAATCAAACCCTCGTCAATGATGTAGCCTCATGGCACTCAGCCCTGATGTCACAAGCTACAAGCCCTAGCAGCCCTGCAAAGCACGTGCTTTCCTACAAAATCTCTTGGACCGACATCAGCAGCCGCAGCCGCAGGGCTCTTCTACTCTGGTCGACCTCTGCTCTGGGTACTCAGGGTGGCTACTTGTACCTTGCAAATCCTTGCGAGCCAGGCAACGAATAAAGTCAAAGTCTGTTTGGCTTGCAGCAGGGAAGCCAACCTGTGCCGGCTGATGAAGCAAAAATATCGAGAGTGATCTGGCGCCTCGATTTCTTTGTAGCCCAGCTTCAACAAATGGAGGAATAAACGCAACCTTTCTGCATGTATACCGAGCTTGGACGACAAAAGGCAGAAGATTCGCTGGCACAGGAATTTGGGTTTGCTGCTTCTTCTCGTGGTTCATCGGGTTGACCAATGCCTGAGGCGAAGCTTGTCTTTCTGGCAGGACTTTGGGGAAGCCGGAGCGCAGGGAAGCGGATGTCTCGCCTGATTGCCATCGCGAAGGTCGACCGTGCACCAGCGCGGTGCCTTGACACATGGATCCAGACACCCGTGGCGGCTTGTGGGCAGAACCAGTTGCCTTGGTCACTCGCTTCTCTGGCCAAGTGCGCTTGGGCCTCTCGAATGATGTGTCTTCATGCGCATGAGCCACTTTGAACCGGGACAAGATTTGGCAGATTAGGCACTGCCTGCCAGTACTGACGAACAGCACAGCATCACTTCAATTCTCGTGTGCGCTTGAGTCAAGTACTGAACTAGCTTCGAGATATGCTCTATAAAACTCACGACGTCTCAACTTCAAGGGCCCTGTGAGACAGCTTGCGGGCCATGTCACCACGAGAGGAATTTGACGGACGTGCAAGACGCGCGTTAAGACACTTGCGAGCAGCCTCGTGCGGAACCTGTCCGACAAACCTTTCGAGACGATGGACGATCTTCAGACGAAAACACACGGAACGGGAAGAAGAGCACGTTCAACTGCGAATCATTGCACGTGGTCGATCCACTACCATCACTGCAAGTGCAACAGAGAAGAGAAGATGAAGCAGGTCGGAGGTGCCACTTGTCATCGAAAGGAATCTGGTACCTCGAAGCTCATCCCGTGATAGGCACGTTGTGTTGCTGCGCTTGTATGCACTCAGGAGCCAGACCAGTTCTGAAAGCTTCGGTACTTCTCCACCTGACACGTTAATCAACACAGGCGGCCGATTGCAATTATATAGGTGTCCCCTGACCTTCAAGCCATCCTCACCTCCTACACCTAATGCAAACTGAAATCTTGATCGCAAAGCTTCGACACGGGCATCTGGGGGACTACTGCACCCCGGGAAGCCTTCATTCGAGGAAGGCGCTCTTCAATGCGCGGTTTCTTCACCACCTGGCATGGGGTACGTTCTAGGCATTCTATCACGAGACAGCTCGGCCAGCCTTGGTGTCGCCGTTCGCATCTGCCTGGTCAAAACTCCCGATCGCTTAGTGAACACGGGCATCTGTGAAGCTGTGCTTTGCTGGGATCAGGGCTGTCATGGCTCCCAGCCTCTGCAATGCCATGGTCTGGACTCTGCATGCTTGTCTGAACCCAAGGCCACCGCCAGCTGCGGAGAAACGGCAATCATCTAAAGCTTGTCAACCCTACTAAGCCATCAAATTGGGCAAGCGGCACATTGAAATGGTGCTGCACGACAAGTCGCTCCATAGCAACAGCACCAGTGAGGAGTTGAAATGCCGAAACGCGAAACCCTTCGAAGCTGAAGCAGCGTCTTGTGCGGACTCCCTTGGCGGCCTGCGCGCGAGCTTCCTCCCTGACGCAGGAAGCAGATGTTTGACCGCAGGCAACCAAACCACGAGAGACATCAGCCGCGGGAAAGGGAGTGGCGGCCAGCGCCGTGGCGTTGAGGTATATATCTAATGAGTCTAATGTAACGATAAACGGATTCTGTCAAAAAGACAAGCGATGATGGACAGAATGCTTGCGAGACTAGAAAGGATGGATGGGTGGATGAACGAACAGGACGGATCAGCGGCCTGTGGTACCGTCCAGGACAGAGGGGAGAGGGAGAGGGAGTGTTTCAGGGGACGGTGGTGCGAGCGGGGGAGGCGGTCCGAGAAGAAGGGCTTCAGCTCAATGGCCCGAGCGTTTTGAGGCCAGTCCATTCTGAGAAGTATGTGCATGGCTTGCGATACAAATAGCTTGGCACAAGCTGCCTGAGGTAGCCTGGGGCTGGGAGGTATGCTGTTGTGCCGAACACGTCTTTTCGTCCGCAGGGCTTCACTGTTATTCCTTCGTTGCGATCTCCAAACCCTTCAACAGATTCACTACTCCAGTAGCACTGCAACGGCGGATAAACAGAAAGAAGAATGTACTGCACTTGTGTACTTCTTTCTCCTCTCGACTGTCAATGCATGAAAAGGCTGGAACTTCAGTGTGCCGGCGCACTGCACGGTACAATGCTCCCTTTTTCTGCGCGCTGCAGACGTACGACACATGTGAATCTTGTTCACACGGCTGCCTATGCCATGTCTCAGTTGGCCTGTGGGCGCCACGTCTCCTTCTTGACCTGCCATAATGAATGCATGCATCGCATCGAAGGTAAAGCCTTTAACGCATGTTCATCGCATGGAAGCACCTGCTGCGTTCCGACGGCCGCAGCTTTCGGCGACTGCAGAGATTTCACCAAAGCATGTGGAGGACGGATGCCATGACCAGACCAAGAAGTCAGCGAGATCTCTTGACAGCAAACTTTGGCTAAGCCTGAACTGGCATGCATGTGATCTGGGACTCATGCGGGTCTTGTAACTCTCCACACGATATCTGCTGCAAAGAACCCGAGGACAATCGCCACCTGCCACGGACGTTACAGAAACAGGGTTTGGATGCCTCGCATGGAACCACAACATGGCAGAATCGCTGACACTAGGCAAACAACCGTGAAGTAGCCGAAACGCATGAAGTCTTCCTGGCGAAACCGGCAACAATACTCAAAGACTTCATGAGGCATTCAACACTCCACGAACTGTCCTTGAACTCGACTTCACACGTTGGACCAGAATAGGGTGATCGACAGAAGCAAACGCCGTGACCGCAAATTCCTGGTAAATCCATGGAACTCAATCTCGTGAGAAGTGGCTCCAAGTCGTTCGGATTTCAGCCTCTTCCAGCAGCACAAGCTGGAATGCAGCCGCCCGGCGCAGTGTTCGAAGTCATGTTGTTAGTCCTGATGGCCACGACAAGCACATCGTCACCCAAAGCAATGCGCTAGTTGTCTCGGCTTCGAGCGCCGGAGCCGCCGCAGCGGATGACTTCCTGGCTGACTTCCTGCGTGGGGGGAGGGGAGGTCGAAGGAAAAAGGAAGGCGGAAGGCAGCACTCGCACGCACCGGCTCTTTATGGCTCTTTGCCTGCTTGCAAATTGAATGCCCTCGCTTTTCCTATGCTTTGTCCTTGGATCCTCGTGCGGTGCTACGATTCAGATTACTTGCCAGAGCGGCAACAGTAAGCAGCAGTGGCCCTCCTTTTCGAAAGGGGACTGCCTTGCATCTTCTCTTGCTAACTAACAGATCTGACCAAGGGGAAACACATCACACACGTCTTCGGGTACAGATCTCGGCTTCTGGTTTGGACGGGATCTAGAAATGCAACTTCTGGGTATCTTGCAGGACTTCATGTGACATGTTGTGCGTCAAGAGTCTTACACAGGCACTTTTCCGAGCCGTCTCATCTCTGCCAGGAGGGTCTGTGCCTGCAACTGCTTCCGAATTCTAGAGGAGTCCTGTTGCAATATCCCTGCACCGAGTCAGAGACCTTACGTATCCGGCTCATGAGAACAGCCGACGGATTGGAAGCGCGAAGCCTCAAAGTTGCAAAGGCACGCCAGAATCCTTGAGAGCTTCAGCCAAATGTCATCTCCGGGATTCTGGCGGCCCTTCATTCAAAATGCGACACTGCAGCCTCGATTGCAAGCTCTGGTCTTGCACGGCTCAAGGCCAATCTTCTTGGCGCCCGGCTCAACAGGTAGAGCTCTGAGGGCATTCTCGGCCTGACCCACATGCAAATCAACTCGCTTTGAGGACCGGAACGGCTTCTCGCGGCACTGCCAGATTGCACTCTGGGCCCTTCACAGAATAGTCCACTGCGTGTTGCATGCAGAACTTGGCCACGGGGTCTCCCGCAGCAGCAGCGGCCTAGGACTGCGTGCTTGCCAGCGCGCTGTACTTTGAAGCAATCAACCTGTCATGTAATGGTCTCTCATGCCATCTGCCAGCGCACGGCTCGGCTCCAAGAGAACAGCAGCCCGTGCAGGCTGCATTCAGCAAAGTCACAAAAGCACGGGCAGATTCAGCAGCGAACCCGGGCACTGTCAGAGACGAAAGCTGAAAACACGAAACAAGAAGGCCGGAGTCACGAAACAACTTGGTCGTAGTCAGACAAGAGGCACGACAGCTTATGAAAATGAAAAGCCAGCAAGGCCAGGCCACCAACTGACAAACACCAGCTCTGAATCTGATCCTGACCGAGAAAAATTGGAAAAGGTCGAGGAGGGACCAGGCACAAGCAGAACAGGCACCGAAAGACAAGGCCCATATCAAAAAACAACAGACAAAGCATTCTGTGATGATACAGACGAGGCCACGCACCGACGCTGAAGAACAGAACAGCCACGACCGCTAAAGTCATCAAAGGAAAAGGCCAGAGTCAGCCCCGAAATGGGCCACGCCGCACGGTCGAAGCAACTGACATGAACATGTAAAGAACAGCCACCATCAGAAAAGACACGGAAATGAAACTGAAAGATCCGGTTCAGCAAAACAACAAAGGTCCCAAAATTGGAAACATTAGACGGGTAAGAGGCCAAATTTCCAGAACACAAACTGCAGCGATTCGGGCTTTGGAATTTCGGGTTTTGAAGTTCAGTGCACCTGAGCCCTGAAAGCCAAAGTGTACCGTATATGGGCACATGGAGCCTTAAAACCTAAACCCTACAGAATCCTTGGAATGACCATGGCATATCATCGCTCTGGTCGAAAGTTTCGATTGCAAGGCTGCCGTATCGCTTGTAACTCCTGTTGGGATGAAGTGTTCCGCGGGATACCGCCGTCTGCCAGCAGCTATGCAGTCAAAAAAGGGACTTTCGGTCGCTACAACAGCTGAGCGATATGCGATCAGCTCCCAGGTGCCCTTAGACCTTAAGCCCTAAATCCAAATCCTAAAGCCACCTACGTCAGAGTTGATTGCAATGTCGCCCGGCTTTCCGTGTATTTTTTGTGGCTGTGTTTTGCCGAGGTTGGCTCTGTTGTCGGCTGGATTCCTCGGGCGACGGCCACAGTTTCCGGACGAGGTCGATGTAGGCCAGCAGCTGCCGCACTGGCCTTGTGTACAAGACAGTCTTTGGGTCTGGCTGTGATGTAACTCATTCCTCTGAGCCGTGCACGCCGGCATTGTTTTCGACCTGAGCGAACGTTGTGCTTCGTAGGACCCGACAACCTCGACTCTCATCCCCTCACTACGGCTGAGGCTGCAGTTACCCTGTAAACCCCTCGATGCTCTCCCTTGGTCTGACGACTTTTACAGATTATGAGCAGGATGGATAAGGGAGTGGTCCGACCGAGCCAGACCCGGAAACCAATGCAAGCAGATTTTGTCCCACAGCTTCTCAAACAGAGTGTCCCTGGCAGCAGACTGTAGGCCGGCATGTAACCACAGCTCGGAAAACGCTACACAAGCGAATCAGACTTGCAACGCATGTTTTCCCGACTCTAGCGATGTCAAGATTTGGCAATCGTTCAACGACCTACTTGTTTGCACAAGCCACACACATGGCCGTAACTACAGACTTTATTTTGAAACAGTTGGGGTGAAAGCGAATCGATGACACATGCCATGCCCATGCGCTTATTGTGCGGTATTCAACGCCTCATGAGCGCAAGCCAGCACTGTGGTCTGATTCTGTTGGGCGCTGGAAACACGGCTAGACGAAGTGCGTCTTGCCGGCACTCGGCAGGAGAAAGTCCTGATTCGGCACCTGCAAACAAAATGAGTGCTTCCGACTTAGCTCCGCCACAATAGCAAGATTTGAGAACTAGAGGCCTTGCGATTGAAGCTGACACCACCAATCAGTGCTGCAAGCATGAACAGCCCAAATCCCAGCGCGACGACAGTTTTGGAAGCACCACCCTGGAAGACAGAGGAAGGGCCGGCAAGCAGTCCGCTGTAGCTCGCGATGAGCTCCTCATCTTCACTCCACTGGGACATCCACTGAAGCTCCTCCTTCTTCATTGTTGCAAGAGGAATCTCTGCTTTGGTGTCCTTCATGGAGCAAGACGCAGAGAGACGAGAGACGCGCCTACTTGGCCCTGCCTTGGCGTGGGCTTCCATCTCGTCGTCGGAGGCCAGATAGCCATCGCCGAACTGGGTGGGCGAGAGCGACTGGGCGGCCCCCGACTTGTGAGGAAAGGAGCAATCGCGAGGGAAGACGTAGTGAAGCCACTGCGCAAAGAGCCGACCATGGATCGGAACCTTGCCGCCATGGGCTTTAGCAATGGACTGGAGCTGCGAAACCAAGGACTCATCCAAGTGCACGTCGACCTCAAAGCAAAGGAGATCTCACGGCGACTTCACTTTACCCTTCACTCCCTTCACCCTTCCTGCAGATAAGGCCAACTGCCGTCAAGGAGCCTCGTCCTCCAACGTCGTCAGGCTAGTCATGTTGCCAACAAGAGAGAGCATGAAGTCCGGATCTGCCAGCGGCCCTTCAACAGCCGCCTCGATCTCCTCCATGATCGGCTCGCACTCGTTGATGCAACACACAGAGTAGTGAGAGGCGGTAACGATGCCTTGCACCATGCACATATATGCACATATATGCACATATGCAGTTTCGATCGAAACCATGTGGTTGCTACAGTACTCGCAGGTGGCGGCCGAGACTACGTTGGGCTGGACAACGCAAGATGTCAACATGCCCTCTCAAAAGCAAGGCACAATTTGAGGCACCCTGGATGTAATTCGAGATGATCACCTGCTTTCCCAGCCAGGATGTCTCATCCAAGGCTCCCAGCTCCCCTCGGCTCATCTTGCAATGGCCAGGGCGTGCCAGAGTTTGGAAAAACATACGCACAAGCACATTGAAGGCCTTCGCATCTCTGCTTGTCAAGCTTCGAAGATATGACTCCGACTCACCGAATCGCCATTCAGCGTCAGTGAGGGACTTGCCATAGAACTTGGACAGAGGCACCCGGCCCGTTCGCCGCTTGTCCAAGCTCACAAGCTTTTGCTTCATGGCCCGACACCTGGGGTAAAACCAGCTGCAGCAAGGCTGGGAACATGTCATGGTTGTATCCACAACACAGGATGGCTTCCAAGGCACTCAGATTCCCAGTAGGATGCGAATGACTTTGTGATACCACCTGCTGAGCATGCGAGAGCGAAATGCGGTCTCGAACACCGCAAGACAGAGTGCAAACGCTGAGCACTTGTAGAGTTGGCACTGTCAGACCTCAGTAACATTTGCACCTCTGGCGACGAATACCGCGCCTACAACGGTGTGCGCATCAGTGAAGGAGTAACCTCAAACGACGATCGCCAGCCGTATGGAATTGCGACCAGGCCCACGCCCCGGCCCCCGCAGAATCTGCTGCCAAGGAGCGCTTGAGCAAAGCATTACCTCCAGACTGGATGTTGATCTTCGGGTCGCTCTCGCGGAGGTAGTTCAAAGCCTGTGGCTGGTCGCTCTGGCCCGCATTCTCACCTCTGAAACACATGTAAGGCGGATGCCGAGATCTGGCCACTCGCGAAGAGCAGAAGCTGGTCCCAATGAGGAAAGACCTGCTCAAGTCTTGTACTGGTAGCCAATTCTCCCCTGCATCTCTGCAAGAACAGACCTGAATTTTGCACTGCGCCTGCCCGAGCTCTCGGTTGTTCCCCAGCCTTGACGTGCACAGTTGCAGCTGGGCAACCAAGGCCGTCTTGCTGAGCTCAAAGCAAGGGAACAATGTCGTCACCTGCCATCCACACCGCGATGTATGCCTGGCCAAAGGAGATTTCAAGAGGATGCGACTTCAACTGCCCAGCACTGCCCGAAGAAGGGGCCTCTAAGAGTTGTTGGAGACCCTGCTCGGAGAGCGCCCGTGACAGTGGCTTGTGCTGCAAGTTGAAGACCTACCCAGCAACATTCAGATTCTGTGTAGGTGTAGAGGAGCACCGGTGCAAGTTTGGTCCAATTTTGCTCGCCGCGACCACGGAGTCTGCGCAGGCCTAACTCAGCCAATTGATGTCCCCCGACTCCCCAGACGCTGCGCTGCTCGTCGCCCAATCGCCCATGTCTGCATTTCTGTACGCAGCAGCTCAGGCGTGACAGCCGCGGCGGCGGCGCTCCCCTGATTGCCGCGCAATCAACACGGCTCCTTGGCTTGCTCGACACGACGACGCCCTTTCACGATACAACTAGATTTTACTGAATCTGAGGCATCCTGTAGTTCATCGGTAATTTTAAAAAAAGGAGGACAATACTCCTCGGTATTCGCACGGTATGCGCAGCCGTAATCTATCTGGCAGCGAAGGGGCAGCCTTTATTCGCTGTTTGGGCGGCTCCGAGTAGTAGGCCTCGACCTCGACTAAACTGTTACAGACAAGCAAAGTGTGCAATCGTCTCCAGATGTCTCCAGTGTCAGAGGAAGAAAATATACCGGGAGACCGTAAAGGAGACGACTGCAAGTTTGCATCTGCATGCTTGCACGAGACTGAGAGGACATGTGCTATCGACGTTTAGGGGAAACGCCGAAAAAGGCTAACACGGAGAACGACGGCATTCCCTTCTTTTGTATGGGATCGGAGCGCATCGCGCCGGGTCCGTCGCCTCCGCCCAAAACTAAGCTGGCCGGCGCCGGGGAAGCTTTGAGCTACCCGACGCGCCGCCCGTGGGCGGGGGACGACCCTGAAGTCTTCAGCAAACGGCTTCGCCGAATTGGGGAGGCCTCCTCCCCACTCCCTACACGAGGGTGGCAGAGGGTGGGCCGAAAAAGCGAGGTCGAGCCGGGACAGCTGCCGGCACGACGAGTCGCTCATGTCCATGCGCACACACGTGTGCTACACGACATGTGCTATCGACGTTTAGGGGAAACGCCGAAAAAGGCTAACACGGAGAACGACGGCATTCCCTTCTTCTGTATGGGATCGGAGCGCATCGCGCCGGGTCCGTCGCCTCCGCCCAAAACTAGGCTGGGCGGCGGCGGGGAAGCTTTGAGCTACCCGCCCGGCGCTCCCCACCCCCACACTGCGCCGGCACAGCCGAACTACCGGAAAACTCTCAAATGGCGAACTCCAGGTCGCCGGCGGTCCTCGCGAGGATGGCGCAGATTCCATCCACCGGGGTCTGGACCCGGGTCCAGCCCATCGCGACCGCCGTGGCAATGTCGCCGCGGGACACCGCGTCCTTTTTCATTCATTCACACGCTTTAGTCGAGTCGACTATTCAGCGGGCGCTACGTACCCGTATCAGCGAGTGGATACAGGAACGGCCTTTTCAGGCACGCCGGACTACTACGATGCCGCTTCCCAGGGCGGCAGGCCGACTATTGCGGCCATGAAAAGAGAGCTAAGTACCACGTCCTACTGATCTCATTTAGGTCAGTAGAGTTAGCTACGACAGTCGGAGTGTCATCGTTCTGTACATGCAGGGCCGGGTGGGCGGCGTCCTCGGCAAGGCTCCTTTGGAGCTCACTGTAGAAGTCAGCAGTCGGCTCCCCCGTAGGGGCCGAAACACCCATTGAGCGATAATGGCCTGAGTCCGGAGTGCATCCGATGTGATACACTACCGAGTTGAGCACATAGGTGCAGGGCTCTGTGTGAACACCATCGGTGAATGTGGGCACCTGCAGCCGTGGCGAGAGGTTAACTCTGTGTTGCAGTTTCCCGACTTCGCCTCTTAGGTCCCCACTGAATCGCATGAGCTGGATGCTCAGGATCGGTGGGGGTCTGACGAGTGCCGTAACCTCTCCCGCGTCTTGCTCATAGGTCTAATCCTCAATGAGCTGCTGAAGAGTTTTATTGGGCTTGCATGGTATTGTGATTAGTGGCACAGGGCTCATTCGCTGATGAGCAAGAAGAAGGGGCCCTTCCATAGATCGGGCTTCCCATGAGCCATGTATGCCTGGCAGGCGTGCATGATCAGTGAGGAATGTGAAGAATTCAGCCACGTCGTGTTGCTGCTGCATTCTGGGCCACGTCCTGAGTAAATCAAGCCACGCCTTCCTCCGATAGAGCTGAACCGATCCATTCGGATTGAGAAGGGGTCTCAGTAGCTGATGAAGATCCCCAAAGTGAGAATTGCGATCTGAGGCCCGAGCAGTGTAGATCCACATGAGTGCCTGTACAAGCGAATTCAGGTAGCACAGGTTGTGTGGGTTGGCAAGAACAAGCAATGGAGGCGGTTCCAGATCAATTTGAGCATCGACTAACGGATTGTTTGCAGCTCTCGATGATGCAGCTGCTGATGTCCCCGAGTTCTCAAGCCATTGCTTGAGCGTCCCCTTGTTCCCTGTGTCAGGGATATCCCCTTGCTAATGTGTCAGCTTCCCCTTTTGGGGGCCGAATTTCGGCTTCCCTGAATGGCTTTCTGCCTTCTGACCTCTTCTGTCATTGCGTTGCAGGTCTTCAGGCAGTACACCTGCCGGCAGGGCTTCGAGCTGTTTCAGCTTCCCCCTGCTGAAAATGGTTTGTTTCGGGGCCGATGTTGGCTCCCCTTCCTCCCTGGTATCCTCCGGGGCCGGCGGCGGCTGCCCCTTTTTCTGAAGTTTCTTCATTGATCTGTCTTCAGGAGCTGCAGTAGCTCCTTGAGCTCCTTTGGTAGCGGTCGATGGCTTCGCTCCGGGCGCAGCCTGACTCCGATGAGCCGCAGCACTGAGTTTTCGGTCATGGCGGTCAAGGCTTCCCTGATTCTCGCCTTGTCTGGGGCCTCCTGAGAGATGGTCAGCTTGAACATTTTGACCTTGCTCTGTTCCGACTTCTCCTCCGGGAGACCGCCCATTGCGAAGAATGCATGCATCGTGCCTTCTTTCACCATCAACGGCTTTAGTTCCTGTATGAAGGTCAGGGCCCGCTCGTGTGCCAGGGGCTCCCTGTCGGCGGGTACTTGAGTTTGCTTCTCTGCGTCCCACTTGGTGTACGACCATCGTAGTGGGTTGGCTGCTAAGAGCCCCGTCGCAATCAACTTGGATTGCGCCTCTTTGTCTTTGCTCAGCTTCCCCATTCTGGCTTCCATCTCCATCAACAATGCGCCCATCAGGGCTTGACGGAGGCCGCAGTCGCACGTGCCCTGTGCTCGGCTCTTCTTCCATGTATGGGTCGTCTTGAGCAGTTGCTGAGTGATCCCCAGGTCCCCTGCGTCCATGAATAAGATCCAAGAGCGATCTGCTTCCAGAAGCTGCAAGGCTGTCTCGTGTCGCGCCATGATCTTTGCAAGGGCCAGTATTTGCGCATTCGGGGGCGACCGCGCTGGAGGGGCCGACTTCGGCTCCCTGTCGCGGGCTCTTTTGTGTTGGTCGGGCCTTCCCGCCCCCCTGCCGTTCAGTCTCTGCGCTTTGGCTCTGGGTGTGGAGACCAGTTCCTCGTCTTCGAAGAGATCCTCGTCCATTCGCTCCATTCTCTCCATGGGGGAGTTGGCCCCCCACATGGCCGCTACCTGTGCAAGGGCCTGGTTGTCTGCCATGGCTCTGCAAGACTCTAAGCTGAAGAAGAGGGAGGCACTTACCTGCATGAACCTTCGGAGTTTTGGTATAAGTATCCCTGCAAAACTTGCAAGGTCTGGAGAGGACGGTGGCTTTCATCTCTTCTGCAACGCGATCCTGTAGCTGAGGGGCGCACCATATGTCCTGATGGGTCTTGGCCATGTGCCGTCTCCAGTCCTGTTGATTGGTGACGGGGGTGGCACAAAATCCGCAATGTCTTTCAAGGAATTGCAGTAGCGGCCTGTCGGCTTCCCCAGCAGGGGCCGTAGTATCCTGAAGCAAGTCGCGTACTTTTTCTGGAGTGAAATGTTGAGGGGAGATGGTGGGTTGGGTGGAGGTTTCTGGTTGACCCGCTTGGTACCAGGCGCTGGCCAGTGCTACCTGAAAAATGACCACGCAGTTGCGAACATGGCGATCCGCTGAGTGGACCTTTTGCTGGCAGAGCTCGCAATCGTGATCCCTGTGGATCAGACCCCTGTATTCTTCACATTTGCTGGTAAAGTGATCTAGTCCAGCATCCCAAATCGCGGGGTGCATACGCTTGATGTGCTCTTTGACGGATCCTTGCTTAGCTATCCATTGCCCGCAAAAACCACAGTGTGCATGAAGAATAGGTGCCCATGCTGCGAGGCGGTTGAGCGGGACTGGGGGTTGCTTAAGGAGGGCAACTGCCGTCTGCGTACGCAGGATGGGTGTCTCGGCCGGTTGTTCCCTACTGGATGATTCAGTGGGTACTTCCTGGGTGCTCCCTGCCTGGGCCTGGTCATAGGGCAGCGTGTCCTGGGTGTGCGGGTTTTCATCATGAGCCGTAGGATCAGGGGCCGGCGACGGCTCCCTGTCAGGTTCCCTGATGTGGTGTTGCTCAGTAGCGTCTGCTGGTTTGGCTCTACAGGCGTAGGTGAGGATATGTTGTTTGAAGGCGCCCCAAGATTGGAGATGCTTCTGACAGTACCTGCATTGAGGCATGCCCTGTATGCAGTGCTCATGCTGCTTGTAATGTCGCTCTTCTTCCGCATCGATGCTCACTTTTTGGTGGTGTTTTTGTGCTCTGTGTTGCCTAAGTGTTTTCGTCGACGGAAAGTAGAGGCCGCATTCCGGGCAGGCCAAGCCGGTGGTGGTGGGCTCAGCCGGAACAAGAGTTTGCGAGGGCAGCTCAAGGGCGGTAACCTGCTTAAAGTCCTTGGCAGTATCCTGCCAGAATGCCATGATGTCAGGGGTGTTTGTAATATCAGCTTGTTTTTGTTGAAGTTTTTCAACCTTGCGCTGAATAGCATGGTACAGTGAATCGAGGGGGTCGCTAAGGTGGAATTTGGCGCAAAGGGTGGAATTGCTCTCATGTGTGATATGGGCGGGGGAGTTAACCACCGCTCGCAGCTGCGTGTTTGTAGAACCAGTGTCGAAGCTGGGTTGCCGCAGCATATGTCATTCCCACCG